TCGCGAGCGCCGCGGCATATCCCTATACAACTACTGAAATGGTGAAGCTGAAGCGAGTCCAACGAGCTGCCCCCCTATGATTGCCGGGTTAAGCGAGTATTGCTACACCGAACGATTGCATGCGACTGGATTGTTTCCGAAGTCCTATCGCCGAGTACGGGGTGATATCATCTGCGTGCGACGCATTCTTCGCGGTGACATGGGTCCAGAGATGATGGAGTTTTTCCCTCTGCGCGAGCAGACCAGGACTCGTGGAGATGGACTTACGCTGTTGAAGCTTTCGTCCGTAGGATTACCTCTTCGGTTCCGGCTATCGCGAAGGGTAACCAACCTTTGGAACTCCCTTCCAGCTGACGTGGTGGAAGAGGTCAATGATAAGATGTTCAAGAGGAAGCTCGACAGCGTCCTGCGAACAATGTGGTATGCAGATCTATCATGAATGAGATCTTCGAGTCTGTGGTGATGAGGCTCATACGGGAAATTACCCTCTGCCTCTAATTGAAGAACATTGAACATTGAACATTGAATGCTCATACAGCGAAGGAAAAAGAACGTTCTAGTGGATGATTCGAATCTGATGCTTGCGATGCAAACATATGATGGGGGCTTAACTGAACAACAGAAGAACGAAAACAATTGAAGCAATCAGTGATCAAAGCAGCTTGATAGAAATGAATCCACAGGAATTAGGAGAGATTTCTTTCTTTATGAACAAGGAATGAATATCTGCGGTTTGCATTTGGACCGCAAGTGTGAACGACCCATTTTGGAAACAATTAATGGAGATCTGAAACCGGTTGTTCCAACGGGGGTCGATTAAAAACTTCTAGGGGGGGGGGAGAATGGGATATAAGTAGTTTCGTTTTCCATCAATCACTACCTAGTACGCCTTGATAAATGTAGCATTTCTCCTCTACACTTTCCATTTGTATATGTATAACGTGTGTAAACTTATATGCTTAAAATTCAGTTGAAATGTATACTCGCAGTTTCATATAGGATACAACTTAAATAATATCACTGAAATTTGTTTGTTTCATGTACAAAACTTCTGACATAATTCACTTGCAATCTGATCCTTTTTGGTTAGGAGTTAAGCCAGGTAGGATACAGTGGAAGTTTTATAAATTTTAATGTGATAGAGCAGATGACAAAAAGAGGAACGTGTGGACGGATG